AAAAATATTCAACTTCATGCAAGTTATCTTCCTACCAAATACAAAATACATCTGTCATTAAATAAAGGCTGTATGGGCAAAAGTGTAAAAATCTATTTTGAGCACTGGTGACCTTGACCAAACTGACCCCTAACTCTATCAAAAAGAAGAATACCATTTAAGTTATCTTCCTACCAAATATGAAATACATCTGTCAATAAATAAAGGCTGTATGGGCAAAAGTGTAAAAATCTATTTTTAGCACTTGTGACCTTGACCCAACTGACCCCTTACTCCATCCAAAGGAAGAATACCATGCAAGTTATCTTCTTACCAAATATGAAATACAACTGTCAATAAATAAAAGCTGTATGGGCAAAAGTGTAAAAATCTATTTTTAGCACAAGTGACCTTGACCCACTGATCCCTACCCCAATCAAAAGGATGAATACCATGCAAGTTATCTTCCTACCAAATATAAAATATATCTGTCATTTAAAAAAGGCTGTATGAGCAAATGTGTAAAAAATCTATTTTTTAGCACTGGTGACCTTGACCCAACTGACCACTAACTCCATCAAAGTTTATGATTCTATCAATTATAAATAACATCTGTCCATAGAATAAGGTCAATACACCTGTAAAAATGTAAAAATCTATTTTTAACATTGGTGACCTTGACATTGGTAACATTGACCTTGACCCAAATGACCCCATACTACACCCAAAGGAGGCTTTTTGTATTAAACTAAGACATCAACTTAAAAATAAAGGCTGTATGAGCAAAAAGTTTTATATTTATTTTTTAAACCAGTGACCTTGACCTTGACCCTAGAGACCGCTTAGTCTAAAAAAAATTAGAGGACAATCAAAGGTATCCACCTTCTAAATATGAAAGATATCAGTAAAAGAAATTAAGCAATTAGGAGAAATTTAAGATAAATCAAACTTGCCGAAATAGGTTAACCAGACAAGGCCCTATTTTCAAAGTGAAAAAAAGGGAAAATAACTGGGAAATATGGATGACACAGTTATATAACTTGGCAATATCACGTGCTTTGTATTGATAAGTAAGTGTGGAAATTATAAAGAGAACTCAAGATATTTCCAACTTGCCGTTTTAGGTTAACCATTATTCATTTTCTAAGTGCTGAAAAGGGCAATAACTTGGTAAATATGAAAGCCAGAGTTATGAAACTTGCCCAGATTGTGTACTTTGTATTGATTAGTAAGTGTGTAAACTTAGAAGCCATTGGTACAGGTAGAACTTAAGAAAAAACCAACTTGCCGTTCTAGGTTAACCTCGTACGGACAGACGGACAGACGGACGGACGGTTCAATCACTATATGCCCGGGGGCATAAAAAGTTGGTTACATAAAAGACTAAGTGATAAAATGACTTGAATGTCTTTAAAATCTTAATATAAACGAATAACATAAAATGCCATACCTGTCACGTTTCGACTTGCCACAACATTTTCAAGGTCCTGTGCCGAGTAGCCAGTTTATATGGCATTAAGACAAATGTTGTCCAACATTATCCACAAAAAATATCCGAGCTGGAACCGTCCATATCTGCAAACTATGAAAAATGACAACTGTAATTGTGCTTAAACTGTTCAAAATCGACCTCCTTATATTTGAGACTTGTATTTTAATTTCTGCGATTAATCATCTATATCGAAACTTCATTTAATATATTCACGCGAGTATGTATTCTGCTATCCATAGGGGCTTCATTCTATCCAGGACCTTTTGGCGGTATTTTTAATATTATTCAAAATTCTATGAACGTTTAAGGATAAATGCATCAATCATGATTTTGTCCAATCAATATCTAGGCTATAACCTGCACCATAAAATATTGCGTGGGAGTTATCAACAATAAAAGTATGCGTGGGAGTTACCCAAATCATTTTTCTCTCATGTATAGGAATAGAAAATGACCAGTCAACATTTAACATGCCTAATATTTACATTTTCAAGTAAAGAAATTCTATGAACATTTTCTCTTTGCTAACTCGACGTAGTTTAATCAAATTCATAAAAAAATACAAATTTTGCGTGAATGTTACCCGAAATATAATTGTTCACATTGAAAATTTCTGTTGAATTTTTGAGTGTTTGTAAAAGCTATGAGCACAGAGGTGGAAACTAAGGTATAGGCGGCAACAATTCTTTATTCCGCGTAGGCTGCAACAGGTCTCGTATGTAAGTAAAAGGGATATAATAAAGAATTACCTGAAAAACACACGTGAAGCGAGGTTTTTAGGCCGCCATATTGTCTGTACGCGTAACCGTAAAAGTCACGTGATTCCCTACCGTGGTCATTTAGACATATACAATTAAACACTTAAGCTATAATTGCGCATCTGAAATTTAAGTGTTACCACCACATGCTCTAAATAATGATCTGTTTCCTGTTTAAACTGATAATTTAAAACGGATAAGTGATTATGACATTGCAGAGGCGACACACGGAAATTCAGATAATTGCACATGATTCTTATTAACCTTATCTGCATGTTTCAAACATCCCTTTATAAAATAGTTTAAAGACGTGTCTAGAGATAAATCGTATACCTAAACATGCACAGTGCGTTACTAATTTCCCGCATTCTAGTTAACGGAATAGAAAGAGAGCATGTTCTTTGATTGGCCCAATTGTTCTGGTGTTTAATCATTGTGAAGGCAGGGAAAGTGATAACGATAGAAAAGCCATATTTAGATGCTCGTACACTAGTTGCTTTTTTCTGGTGTTTCATATTGTGGCAACAGGGAACGTACTTTTATATTTTTGTCTTTTATACAAAAGAGAATGATCACCAAACACTCGGCAATCTGATTTATTCAGGGCTCAGCCACCCTGTCTAATTCAATATACCTAAATTTTACCAACTTGAGGGGTTGTATACAAATGTCATCTAAATTTTCTCAGAAGTATACTGATTGATCTTGTAAAACTTAAAATCTTTTTACTGCGTAGATTTAATTTTATTACACTTTTAAATTATCAGGTACCAAATTTATTGAATTCTACCATTATTTAGCTAAGATATAAATATAAAAATTATATAAATTAAATTAAACATTTTTCCTTCAATAACAAAAAGGGATCTGGTTGATAAATTAATAATGTGAAAAGGAAAAGAAAGAAAGAAATACCTAGTTGGGTTTGAACCCAAGACCCTCAATTTCCATGCAGTTGACAGTAGTTGTTGCCTATTTAAATACTGACCAAATCGAAGGGATGGTCATATCTAAAAACATTACAAGCAAATACAAATACGGGTTTCTGACTTCATTTTTTGTTATCTGCTCTTGCATTTCGCATTTTTCAAAAGCAGATAATTAAATGTAAGCAAAGCTTCATCTTTCAATTTGACTGTCCTCCTCTTCCAGTGATTCAGCAATATGACACCCATTTTTAACGAAATGTAGCTATTTCTGTATTTATGAAATATATCAAATTTAGCTTTAATAGAAATTTTTAATGTATTTAAATAAATTAAAGCACTAACATCCGTGGACGGAAAAAGTAGTAAGTATATAATATTTATAAAGGTGGTCTACCTTATATACAAATCTGGAAAAAGGAAATCCATCAAGCAACACACATACAACAGTATTCAAAAGGTGAAACTAACAGATAAATGTAATTAAATGTGTTCACGAGAGATAATGAAAGGTAAGTCTTTCATTTCCAGTACACCGATTTAAGCGGTATTCAATCCTCTTCACAAATAATAAAATATTAATTGATCCATGACTAGAAAAATATGAGATAAAGCATCTGTCACACAACACATAACGCTTGCATTTGAAAATATACAAATCTGGAAACAAGAAGATCCCACAAGAACGACGGAGATATATTTATTGATGAAAGCTTCCGATAGATCACCTTTTCTCCAGATTCTGATAGATCCTGTTACTTTCTCTACAAAGACACCAAAAGTTGCACGTTTGTTCTGTGTTTCCTATTCCTTTTTTATTCCATTTTCCATGTTGAGATTCTTTAGAAAGTTCAGATACTGAATCAGCTTAATGACCCTCAAAACCATCTTAAAATTCTTGAAAACTTCTACGTTCAATGGGGGGGGGGGGGGGGGGTATAAGTTAAAACTGTATGGTGGGTAATCTAAAAGTACAAGTAATTTTTTTCTCTTGCTGTCTTGTAGTACCCCTATGTTTATTGAACTAACACAGAATTTTCCTCGTTTCGCAACTGAATGTTTTTGATCGACGTCATTCTAATTCCAACAAAAATTTGAATAATAGAGAACAAAATTGTGTCACTGATTTAAAATGTAGCGGTAGTGACAGCATTACGTCATTTTACATGCTTTTTTATTTTGCTTTTTTCTAGCTTTGATGACAGAAAATCAATTTAAATAGCAAATGTATTTAAGAATTTTTTTTCGACTGCTCCGGATACCAATTTATGTTGCTATGGGAACCTGTATATTTGTGTACAAAAGGTGTTTTTTCGGACCATCTTCTTGATGCAAAAGAATGAAGTCACAAACGAAGTTTCAACTATATTTAATTACTTTTATAAATAGAATATCGTAAAAATATACAAACTTTCTGAAAAACCCTTGTAAGCTTTTTTAGTAAATAAAGTCTTCTATTTTAATCATTTACATCCAGGGCCTACGTGGCCTAGTGTTAAGACCGCCGAATTTGAATCACTAACTTGTCATTTAAAGTTCGAATCCTTCCGATGACATTTGATTCATTTAAGAGGTATCCTACCAATTCTGAAAGGAACTCTGCCAATGACAGTTTTAGTTGTGCCTTACGTCGTACAATAGAATAGAAATCATAAGGCAACTTTTCAGGAAGACCTCACGTATATAAATTAAGCTGTGATGATACCTGTCAATAACAACTAAGTCAGTTCCGAGAAACAATCAAGGTTTCTTACGTAATAAAAAGAAATATTTATTCATGGAGGTTCACGAAATGTTATTAAACTTAGACTGGCCACCTTTAAAACGTATAGTTTTAGTAGATAAATTCGTTGTTTAAGGCGCAGTCATATTCTGATCTTGTAGTCAGTGGTATATATTTTACGACAGAAGTTTGGTGATAAAATTTCGGAAAGAGACTTTATGATCTATTGTAAGTATTCAAAAACTTATACTCATAAATCAACAATAAATACACATGAAAAAATAAAATCAACTATAAGATGTGTTTATAAATGGGAATTTGTATTAATAATAACTTGTTGAAACAATATCAAAAATATTATCTCTGATTGTGTCTTTCAATGTATAAAAGATGACAACAGTGTTTGTAATTTAAACTTTTATTTTGTGACATTTTCGATGTAACTGTATAAATGAACGTTAAGAATGCATAAAATAAGACTTTCTTGCAATATGTTTATCACATTGTTCTCCTTACTTTCTTTAATAATTCTAAAATCTTAAGTGTAATTTGTTTCACTAATTTCAGGGAAGAAACTACCGGTATCGTGTCAAAAAGCGGACACTGCTCGGAAAGGTCGCCATTTGACGAAACATTATCAAGGAACTAGATAAGAATTGTAAACTGTAAGTTGAAACCTTTGTGTGTCAAAATATAGCTGTAATGAAGCCTATCTTGTATTTACTGGTATTTTGCGCCATTTTTGAAACATTTTCCTGCTTAGATGAAAAGGATGATAAAGTAATTCTCAGTCATATGCAAGATTGGGGAAAAGAGGTATTCAAAACATTGACAGGAAAGAATGGGACTTATGATAAGGGACAATACCTAGTCGCAGCAGTGTTGTCTGATGACGACTTGAATACACCAAATAGGATGCCAGGCAGATTGCTAAAAGGATGTCCTAATGACGGTCCAGATCACGATAAACAAATGATAATGTGCTCCATAAGTGGGGTATTTCTTAACAGAGAAAGTGAAGACATTTGGCGCAAAAGTCGCTGGAGTGGAGACGAAACATATAGAGATCATGAATGGCATGGAGAGTATATATTGTTAAATGAAGGTTATATACAACAACTTGTCGAAAATTTTGAAGGGAATCAATGTCAGGTGTACCTATACTCGTATTATATCCCTTGTGCTGACATAAAGGGCTGTCCATACTGGTGCTCCGATGAAATTCTTAAGTATAACAATAGAGATGATATATCATGTAGGATAACTGTTATCGGTTACACGGAGGTGTTCAGACGTTCAAACACGACACGGACAAACGAGCAATTCGCGGTAAATAACATTGAATCAGCTCGGGCACAGTTGTTTAAAAATGTTAAAAAAGTAAAAACAAAAGCAATTAGAGATGTTAAGGATAGAAATCGAAATGTACCTTTTCAAGAATTAATGTTTTTATGCCTAAATGAATCACCGATATCGGCTTGTTGTGTAAACCTCCCCGGAACTTCGTCGAGCAGTAGCGAGGAACTCATTGCATATTACGTAAATAAAATGGTATTTAAGGCAATAAACGTGATAAAATCTGATCTAACGGCAAAAACAAAACGTGATGATTATTTGACTTACTTTTATCATTTCATTGATAAAACGATTTCAAGAGATTGCAGTGTATGTCCTTATGAAAGGTATCACAAGCTTGTCATGAAATTCTGCACAAAAACAGCAATTGAATTAGCAAGTGGATTTGGAGAGCCCTCAGAATCAGGGGATTTGTCGCATTCATCTTGGACTTTCACTGGAAATCGTTGGAACAATCTTTATCGTGTATCACCCGAGGAATTTAGAAAAACCAAGATGTTGTTATGTGCTAACAGACCTATGTCAGTTGATTCCATGTGTACGAGACTTGATTACGAGGAAGAACAGGATGAAATGATGGATTTCTCTGACTCCGACACGTTCCTATGATGAGAAGAAAATGAATGGATTTTTCCACACTAAAAAATTCCAATGATTTTACTAAAAAATTAAAAACAGTTAAAAATTTACTCTGCGTTGTTCGTCCCCAAAACTCAACTAAATTTTCGGGAAGAAAAAATTGGTTTTGAAAATGTGAAAAAATACAAGAAATTATTTGCTGTGTTCATTTTTTAAGAAAAGTTTTTTTTTCGATAAACAAATTTTAATTTTTATTATTTCAAAAAATGAAAGTGTAGGGACAAAAGAAAAAGTATTCTTTCCCCCAAATTCATAAAAATATTTTTAGCATTTTTATTTGAGTTTTTATTTTTACTGTGGTTTGTTTAATTTTTTCGAAATTAAATAACTATGTCCACATGGTAGTAAAAAGTATAAGTAAAATTTTTTAGTAAAGTTATTTATCAAACTCATTTATCATATTTAAAGTATTTTTTTTTCTATTTTGTTTATTTTAAAATTTTTATGTGTTGCAAATTTTAAATTTTAAAAAATAATAAAAATGTTTGTTCTAAAGGGTAAATAAACCTACGATTTTAAACGGAGGGAATACAATAGGGTTTTTAAAAGACGTTTAAAGGGCCTCTCTTCTCTTTTTGATAAAACATTTTTATGCAAATTTATTCAACTTAGTTTGATACGGGTTAACCCCAGACCCGGACTTTGGGAAATAAAAACATCTAAAAAAACAAGGGTGATCTGTTAAACCAGAAAATTTAGACCTTAATTTTAATTCCTAGGAAATTTTTACAAGCATATTTAAAAGAATCACTGATTATTGGTCAAATATTTTTTAATAACACAAAAGAGGATTTAAAAAAAGGTTTTTCCCTCAGATAATATTTCATTTAACCAAAATTAAAATTTATTAAATAATCCCGGGAAAAAAAATTTTTTGTCATTTATTGATTTAAAAAGGCATTTGATACTGTGTGAGAAATGGTCTATGGGAAAAAAAATTATTAATGCTAATATACAAGGTAAATGTCTGCAGGTTATACAAAATATGTACAAAGGAATTAAATCATGTGTGAAAGGTAAATTGTCAACTATCTAACTTTTTCTCATGTAATATAGGTGTTCGTCAAGGGGAAAAATTTATCTCCCTTGCTCTTCTCGTGTATTTGAATGATCTTAAAGATTTCTTTCAAAAATAATAGTAATACACGTGGAATTTTGCTTCATAATGATCAGAATATAAACGAGCTATACAATTTTTTACAAATCTTTATTCTGTTATATGCAGATGACACTGTTATTATGGCCGATACAGCAAATGACTTAAAAGAAGCTTAATACATATGAAAAGATATTGCGATATTTGGAAACTTACAGTCAATATTTCTAAAAACCTAAGATAGTTGTATTTTCAAAAGGGAGACAAAAAAAATTATCATTTTCACTTATAAAAATGAACAAATCGAAATAGTAAAATGAATATAAATACCTCGGCATATTTTTTAATAGAAGTGGTTCTTTCGCTAAAACTAAGACACATATTGCAGAACAAGCTATACAAGATCGATGTACATAGCCTGATAAGAACTTCAAATAGATTAAATTTACCAATTGACTTACAAATTGAATTTTTAATAAAACTGTTAAAACAATATTACTTTATGGTTCTGAAATCTGGGGATACGGTAATCCTTGACGTTATTGAACGCGTACAATCAAATTTTTAAAACATATATCCTTAAACTTATAATAAACGTTCGACGGCCAGTTATTTCATAATACGGTGAAACGGGATGCATGCCATTGTCTGTAGAATATCGGAGAAAAAGAATAGTTTCATTTTGGGCGCGTCTATTCAGAACGAAAATGGTTTAATACCAAATAAATTATCACTACTTTGTATATCTTCATATGCTAAAAATACATGTAATAAATGATAATATTTTTTAAACTATTATCCCGTGGATTTAATTTTAAATCAATACTAATAATAAATCGGTATCACAATGTTGGATTGATCATAATTTTTCCCGTGTACCAAATGTTAAAATTAACAGTTAAAACAAAAGTAAATATTCTTTTTTTAAATAATGGATTCAAGAAATAATGAGCGGTTTTTTACAAAATTTTTAAAAAAACTTTTGGAAATGAACCTTTTTTGTATCCTTAAATGCAATGATTTTTATTATGTTAAATTTCAGAACAAAAAACCATAGATTACAGTTGAAACTGGAAATTGTCAATATACCTGTCAATGAAAGATGTGCAATTTTTGTAGAAAATTAATCGTGATGAGTTTCATTATTTTTCGAATGTAATAGATTTCTAATGAAAGATAGACAATTTATAAACCATTATTTTTATAGACGTTTAATATGTATAAATTAGAACATTTTTTACAATGAAAGATTCGCCTGCATTTTATAAACTATCGCAAATTTCTTAATGATTTTATAAGAAATGTAAGAATGTAATCAAATATTTATGTTTTCATTTTAAAGTCAGTTGTTATTTTTGTAATGTTCCTAAGGTATAGTTTTGTTTTTAATTGATATTCACTTAACCACTTTCTTACTATACAGCAAAGGTCCTTTATGCCTCACATATACTTTTATTTTCATTTCTCATAAGACTAAGTTTTTGCTGTACTTTTATAGTATTAAACGTTTAATCACTGGTTTATTTCATGAATCATCTTTCATTTCAAAATTTGCTTTTTAGAAATAAATACGAAGAAGAAGAAGAAGAAGAAGAAGAACTTTTTATTTGCACTAAAGCCCTAAAAAGAGCAATTGACAAAGCATCAATATATATACATACACAAATATAAACATAGCAATACGTGACAAAAAGTCGAGATGGATTTTGTTTCATGAAATAATTTTTGGTAAAGGAAAGTAGCTCAACCTTTAAACTGATTTACTGTGCTATATAAAATTACCAAACCAAGAGCTTTAGGTACAATATTTAAAAAAAAAAGTTTTCACTGAATTCGCTTGGGAGAGGGGAAAATGTAAATATTTCAAAACGAAAAAAAAAATTTAAATTTTAATAATAATGGTTAAAGAGTTGGATGCTCTATAATATGTTATATATTTAAGGATTTTGCCTTTCTTGGGAAAGGGGGGTATCCCCAAATTACGTGTGCTAAAAATATACATTCCACACAAATGCCCCTCGAAAAAAACGAAAACGAAAAAAAGAACATGATGGGGATCTGTACTAGCAACGGATTATAAAAAGAAAAATCAGGGGTCCCCACAACGGAACCATTTTTTAAAAAATTATTATGGGTTTCATCAAATTCTAAAAATTTTGCTACAATAAAGATTTTTTGGAAAAAAAAAATTTAAAAAGTTTTAAAATTTTAGATATATTTTTATTTTTATGGCACGTTTTTTTTGATGGTTACCCCGCAGAAAAGGTGAATATAAACCCGGTTTTTTTTTATAATTAAAGAATTTATTTTTTCAAAGTTTTGTTTTGTAAGCATTAACCGGAAAAACTTGATTTCTCATCTAAAAGGGAAAAATTTAAAGAATCAATTGTTGTACGTTTAAAAAAAGCATATAAATGTAAATCTTAAAAAACAAAATCTGTTACTTTTTTTTTTATAAAAGAAATAAATTTAAATTACTAGGGGATTCCAAAAGTATTCTTGAATATTTTTTGTACAGTTCTTTAAAAAATTACATACAATTTAAAAAAGGGATTATTTTAATAAAATATATACAAGTTCGTTCTTAAAAGCAAACATTCTGTTTTTCCACCTTCCAATCTAAGTAATCTTGAGATACATGCGTAACGTGCTAAAGCTGTTTTTATTAGGATATTTTAAAAATAGTATTTGCTAAATTTAAAAATAATATTGTTTAAAAAAAGGCTCTTTTCGGTTTTTTAAATTTTATTAAATCAAAACGCCAAAATTTTTTTATCCCTTTTTTTAATATCAAAAAAATTTTTATTTTAAAAACCCTTGGTTTTAACCTACTGTTAAACCAGTTTTTTTTAGTAAATTTTAAATTAGTCACCCAGTTATTACATTTGGTTCGTTAAATGCGTATTTTTTAAATCAAAAAATGTTTCTAAAATATTGATTTGAATGTTTAAAATTTTTAACCCAAATTTTTAACACTAAAAAATTCATATGATATCAAAAATTTGTTACCAAGCTCGCCATATATAAAATCATTTTGAGTAGATGCTTTAACACTTAACAATCTTTTACAAAAACTAAATATTGTTCTTTCTTACATGTGGGGCTTTATAAAAACCCCATTACCTCTGAAGGAATACCGTTAAAATTGCATAATTAACTTATCAAATAATCAGTGTGTGTTTGGGTAATAAATCTGTAATTTATATAATATTTATTCATTTTTTAAAATAGCTTTTAAAGCCTGTCCAGCTAATAACTTATCATGTTGAAATATATGAACCACCTGACGTAAATAAACACCTAAAATATTTAAACGTGATCAATTTCTAATTCCTGATCATTATACAAGAAACGTAAATTCTGCGGTAATCTACCCGCTTTTCTGAACACCATGACTTTAGTTTTTCCCGTATTTTACTGTTAATTTCCATCTATTACAATATTCTAATAAAACATTTAGAGAATGTTGCAATTCATCTGCACTTTTCGCAAAAAGAATAATATCATCGGCGTATAACAACAGACCTATCTTTATCATTCAACATCAATACCTCTATACCTCTATCATTTAAAGTTTGCTCCAGATCATTAAATACATGCTAAAAAGAAAAGGTGAGAGACTTTCACCCTGACGAACGCCTAAATTACAGTAAAACGCATCACTCAATAACTCATTATTACATTTCATTTGTGACTTAACATTGCTATACATTGACTTTATAACATTTAATATATTTCCACTTACACCACATTGCAAAAGTTTGTACCACAATATATCCCTAACAACAAAATCGAAAGCTTTTTGGAAATCTATAAATGCACAGTACAAATATTCCTTATTATTTAAAAAATGATTAATTAACCCATTAAGAAC